ACTCTTTTACTAACGAATAGCGGGATTGACCGTCACTTTATAACGCCCCCACGCCTGAAAGGGCGAGCATGTTTGGTGTGACGGTGATTCGAAGCCGCGACCCGCAGATTGCTAGTCGAGCTCCCTAACCACTTGGCCATGCCGGGTCCGTTTGTTGAAAGAACCAATAACACGTTTCGTTGGAACAATGAGATGTAAAATATGTGATTTGACAAAAAATTTTACAGTGTGCTGCTTTTGTTTTTTAGAAAATATTTTTCGAGTTGAATTTCTAGAAACACGTGTCTGAATGCTATTTACAAATATATTTGTCCTTGATGTGTGCAGCAGTTATGCAGTCATACGTACATAAAAAATAATAACGAATGCAGCTGTCTTGGCAGTAATCCTTCCATTGTTTGCTCTCAATGCAGCTTTCTGCTAAATAGGCATCTGGCTGTTGACTCACAGTACATTATCATTGTAGAACTAACACTATTACTCGTTGTAGTTAACTATTAAATCGTGGTTTAGTTAATTGGATTGGTAAATAGGTCATCTGTTTGCTCACTCTTGCAGAGAGATAACATTACTGATTGTGCTAGAGTTACTTTACTACGGATCTCTGGCTAGTTTCAAACCATGCAATGGGTCCAATGAAAGGAGTTGCTGTTCCAAAAGTAGCAAATACAATTAATTTCCTATCAAGTCCTTTTCTCTACTGTTATTTCTCACAGTAAATTAAGATGACAACTAGAATTTCAAAACATATACCTTTTTCTTTTTGTCAGGGACACTCCCTCTCTCTAGATCTATCAGATCTGCCAACATCTTCCCACTTCCTGTTCTGCTAGAAACACTATAAGCCCTGTTAAAAATCAACCAAATAATATTAGTGACGAATTTCTTTTACTTCAGTCCTAATTTATATTATTCACATGTTTATTAAAGACAGACATTGGAAAATTGTTTGAAAAGACTAAAATAACAGAACAAATATTTTCAAATAGAGCAGACTTAGTTACAACACCAAAGTTATTTCATATTCCATAACCTTAGTACTCTGTTAAATGGCAGAAATAACGCAGATTGAAGACCTGTGCTTATTTGACCAAATAAAGAATATCTGTGTAACTTTAATAAACGGTCAAGAGTTAAAATTAGAAAAGAAACATAAGCTTTATTTTCACATGAAATATATACACGAAGGAAATACATAATTGACAAACATGAAACGAAACTTCTGCTTTACAGTTAATCGCAATAAAACAAGATGTATTTAAAATAAAAGAAATGTAGTTTTAAATAAAGCAAACCTACAGCTAAAATTTGGAAAACTTAAACAAAGGAAAATACTTTGTCACAAAACAGAAACATAGAATAAAAAATATTGTTACTATTTATTATAATGATACGCTAGCAATGTTCATCAAACATGGCGTTCCTTTCATTTGATTGGTATAAAACAAAGACAACAGGAAAATTTCAGAGAAATAGAAAAGGGCGTCTGTATTTCAGATATTTCGCTATAATTTTTCACTGCAAGCTCTTGATGTTGATTTTACATCCTTGATCGATCTACATGTGCATTATCTTCTTATCTCAGATTAACACCTATTATATCCTTGACTAGAAAACTTACATTGTTAACCTGACATTCAGAAAGCATAAATATAAAGATCCCCAAACGTTAACACTTAACTGGGCCAATTGAAAAATGGATAGACTAAGTATTGATACATGAAATAATTATTATACTGTTAATCACTGAGAACAGATACTCTAAAATAAATACTATAAATCAACTGTTTTTATTCAGGACCAACACATGAAAAAACAACAACAAAAACTTAAGAATTTAATCTTCAAAATTCACTAAAAGACAATTATGGACTAAAATTAAACGAAATCAAATGTTTCTATCATTCAATTTTCATCACTATCTACACGCACGTAACGTATTAATACAGTAGAAAACAAGTACCAGAAGTCAGTGTCCATAACTGTATAGAAATCGGGTTTCGATACTCGTGGTGGGCAGAGTACAGATAGCCCATTGTGTAGCTTTGTACTTAACTACAAACAAAACATAAGTGTATGAATAATAATTAATTGCCTTTTCGCTCTGTCCTCTGAAATTAATTACACATAAATGAACAATAAACTTTAAAGTTTCTGAAACAAATATACAAAAAATATATCTATGGATTTCTAATTCATTGAGAAACCTAGAAGTGACTATAAAACTGACCAATTTATAATGGAATTGATAATTACTCCATGTAAACAACTAGGCTGCCACAAATCAGTTAATAATTTCAGAACCACATTCAGAAAGTGAGGGAGAGGAGAGGCTCTGCTCCACAAAGAAAAGACACGCCATTGACAATAACTAAGCTAAATTACATACAACTCCTCTCACACATACATACACAAAATATAGGAGCACTGGTTGAAAGAAAATGTAAAATATCTTATTCATGGAAGAACAAAACAACATTCCTTAATGCTCAAGAAACAAAAGACACGTCATTATCAATAACTAAGTTAGATTATAAGCCCTCTCATACATACATATTCACAATGTAGTAGCACTGACTGAAATAAAATATAAAATATCTTTTATGAAGAACAAAACAAACTTTTTTAACGTACTGACTTTTCTGACGGGCCGCTTGCTCGGACAATACAACAAGAGACTGGAGAAAGCTAGCAAACAAATTTGTATCCAAATAGTATATTAAAATTCACATAATTATTTACATGTGTAAAATTCTTTAGATTAGGTATTGTTTGTCATGATCATATATTAAATTGCAGCTCTTACAAAATCTTTAAACTAATAAATAAAGATAAGGGGGAAAGAACTTTGGGACACTAAACAACATAATATCCTAGTCGACCGTGATACTAAAGGCAATACATTTGACTGATCGATGTATTTTAACTTAAGTACATTACATTGTGATTAACTGAAACTATATTTATATACATTTTATTGTAACTACCATGCGATACAAAAAATAAAATGAAAATCCAATGTGGCATTGACTATTTAACAATTTTTTGATATTTTAAATATTCGTGTTTTGAGCAGATTATATATATCTATTATAAAACATGAGATAACTTGCTGGATAAAATATTCTTCTATTTTACACTCGTTTCTTTAGGCTATTTCTTATAATTTGTGGATAATAATTTTTGAGTATGAAAAAAAAAAATAAAAAATAACTGCTTGAAGGACTCATCAAGCAGACTTTCTATGAAAAAATAATTACGTCAAAATATGTAATGGTGGAGTAAGCTGGAACAGAAAATTCGCACGAAGATTATAAAACTTAAACTTAGGATTTTAACCTTATCACTGTGTAGGCAGCTAATTATTTGTGAGTTAATAATCTTTTCAAAACAGTTTTATATTTCTTAACTGCATAACATAATTAATGATAAAAACGATATATCATAACCAAGTTAAACTTCTGATCTGTTCTGACCAAAGACTAACGACTTTAAGTTAAGTTAACACTAAGACTGTAATTTGTAAATCACACAAAATCATCAGAAAATGTAACATCAGTGTAACAGTTAAGACGTCAAGCTAACAATTTTAATTAGATCTTAATTTAAAGTTAACGAAAACTTGGGAAATGTTAGCAGCTGATTCTGACTAAACTAACGACTGTGATTTATACTTATAAGTTATACATTACAAAGTGCAACAAGGTGTAGAACTAAGAACTAGAAGAAAGAAGTAAACAACACTAACACTGTATAACCTTTATTTAACAATTTTAAATTGTAATTTTTACTATTTATTTTTTGTTGGTTATTCTAGTGTTATGTTATTGTATAAACTTGGGTACATATTAATATCATAGTTATAATACTGACCAAAAATTGTTAATATACTAACTTAGAATTTAGCCACATTTTTAAGATATGTTTTAACTTTTGTTTGATACAATTTCTTGGTTTATTCTGCTTTATACTAAAAGAATAACTGAGTCAATTATAATTTTAATTCTCACTTCAGCCTTGTTATTTTATTTTTAAGGTTTGTAAAACTGAAGGTTCTGACTTCTGTAGACTGAGACATCGTACAGTTTGAGAGTTGTGGTTGTAATTTTTAAAATCTATTGCAAATGCTAAGCCTAATAAATATAAAATCGTTATCATTTGGGCAGATGTTATCAGTTTTCTTAAGATTTTTCTGAAACTTGAAAGCTTTAATTGGATCTTCTGAAGATGTGTTTGTGAATAGGATAAAGTATGGAGATCTATTTAAAGGAGTTTGAATAAGTAGTGTAGTAGGAATACTATTTTCTGTTACAATTTTTTTAGATACCATTTGGGGTAATGTGTTAATTCCTGAAAGAGTCAAGAAGAATAATCTGGAAAATGATTCTCAGAATGTTTCCTTTGTTCAGTCGCTTCACATGAGATGAATTTTTAGATTGGATGCCTACAGAATGATTATATATCCTAATTTTTACAACTTTTAGAATGTGACTGATGTGTCTGTTCTAGGTGTATTGTTGTTCAATATTACCTTTAGTGTCATTGATTTGGAGAGTTTCTTAGACGGTATTATTTCCAAATTTTTCATAATACAAAGTTCGCATAAATTTCTAGTATAATTTCTTTTGAAAGGTGGAAATTGAAAAAAATAATAATAATTGCAAAGTTATGTACCTGAAATGTAGAAATTTGGAAAGAACTTATTTCTTCAATAAATTCTTGTGTGAGAAAAACATTGGTGGAGTGCAAAAAGAAGGAGGATCTAGAAATGACTGATAAAACCATAAAGAATTCTTATGGGTATAGTAGTTGTAAAAAAACCACAGAGTTTTTTGTTCAGTTTAAAAGAAGTGTGAATTTAAGAGCAAGGTTACTATGACGTATAAAGTATATTGGAAAAGTCTCATTTGGAGTAGTGTTTACAATCTTAGACTCCTTACTATAGAAAGGATATCAATATTTTGTGAAGGGTGCAGAGATGGGGTACTAAAATGTTATCTGGTTTAAATGATTTGAGTATAGAGAAAGAGTTTAAAAGTTTTTGTCTTTCCTCTGAAGCTCAAAGGAAATACAGGTGATTTTTTTATATGTATTCAAAATTGTTAAGCATTGGACAGTCTTCAGTGGTTTGTTTGACTTGTGTAATGAAACCGTTCAAAATACAAACTTTACTATTAGGGGTAATAGGTTTAAGCTTTGGAAGCCCGAACACAATCTTGTTCTTCTAGAAAAATATTTTTCAATTATAGTTTTAAGCTGATGGGATGATTTACCCAATGATCTGTTGTGTGGCATCTAAATCATCTTAAGTTGTTTGATAGTTACATGTATATAGATGTGAAGGGCTACATTCAATTTGAATTGATGTGTTGATTTTCTGGATGTGAGGTGACTTCAATGTGCTGAATGCCTATATGTATTGCTGCTTATTTTTTAGTGTGAATTTCTTAAGTATGTAAAATGCTGAGAAATTAAACCAACAGAAAATAGTATCTGGGGCATAATATCCCAATATTTTTAAAATGTTCAAGATTTTGGACAGGTTGGCTGTGGTAATTTTGTTTTTTGTATTAGATTAATGATATTGGTGGAGGCTAAAATATCAAAAGTATGAAGTCTAAAATATGAAAAATATAATTTTTATTTTCAGATTGAAACATTATCTAATTTTCTTGTGGCAATCACTTTTCAAAACATATCTCATTTGGAGAAAAAGCTCTATTGCTTTGTTTAAAATAATCACATATAGAAATGTAATTTTGATCTTCCACTAAACACAAATTGATGTGTACTTTCCTGGCAATTAAGAAAAGGGGTGGGGCCCAAATTAACTTTCATTTTCATAAATCCATGAACACAAGTCTACTGAATTGAGTGAACAGTGTAAGATTGGCACTCATTCTCCAGCATCTGATACTTATGTAGGTAAAAGTCAATGACCCCATAAATGTACATGAAACTGCAAAGTATTATCTCATGATTTTTTCCCTAATTGGCATAGATGAACAATGTTTTATTTAACCATATGTCTCCCTTTTTAGTCTGGCTATTTACACTAGCAAACAATATTTTTAAAAAGTGGATATCTTTTAACTCTAGAAGCTATTTTTGCCTACATCTGTATGTGTGTAGAATGGGAAACTGTGGACTAGAGGAAAAGCTTCAATAAAGGTTAGCTAAAACATTTAGCAGTCCATTATGAAGCAAATTGACAAATGTTCTTGCTATAGCTTGTGGGGTGCTTATATTTGCCACAGTTTTTCAGAATTAAAGTACATATAAATGAATATTTTTGGAAGCAGTAATGTTGGTACTGTTGAGAGCAATAAAGATTATCTGGTCTTGTAGGATGTTTCTGAATAAATGTACGGTTAAATAAAAGAAAGAAAAAAGCCATTGTTCATTATGAGTTTTAACTTATATTATGACTCCAAGGACAATGAGTGTGGTACAGGTGAAGGCTTTATTCACTATCATTTGAAATTCTAAATAATGAGTAGATATGAGTGATAGAAATATTGCTTTTGTTTTTTTTTTCTTTCTGATATTAAGAGGAAATAGTGGTAGCTACAGAAGCTTTTACATTTCTAATGGTTGAAAGGTTGTAAAATCTGTTAAGGGCATTTTTGAAACATCCCAGGAAATATAATTTAATGAGAAAGAGGCAACATGATTTCAGGAAGACCTACTCAACTCAATAACTTGCTAAGAGGCTTAAATATATAATTTTACTTTTTTTTTTTTTTATGAAGATACATCCATGAAAAACCTTTATCTCTACCTTTTAAAGTATTTCAGGACATATTTCACAGGTTCAGGATTAAGCTCTGAAAATCAGGAGCTTTGTTTTGAAATCTGTATCAAATAAGGAAGTTCAGAGCATGTGTTGCCAAGAGATAAAGTTTATTTACTTGGTATGTAATAACATTTTCACATCTTTTTCCAGATACAAGGTTACTGATAAAAAATAGTGTTTATAGAAAAAAAGACCACAAAAAATTGTTTTATTAAAAATGAAAAGAATTTAGCAATTACTTCTTCTTCTGGCATTCCCAAGGTTCATAAAAAGGCTTAAGACAAATACTGTTGAAACATAAAAGTGTTCATACATTTTCTATAAAAACTTTTTTTTAAAAAAAAAGATGTGGTGTTAAATGAGATATTCTTTAACTTTGTATTAACACTTCTTCTTGGATAATTTAATTTTAGAAGTAAATTTAAAAGTAAATAGAGCTATAAATGAAAAGTTCCTTAGTGCTTTCACTTATACAGGTGGAAGTAGTGGGTACCTAAGTTTTTCATTGAACATTGTTAATTATACCTATACCAGCATAATGCCATATGTTTTTCTTACTGTGTATTTATAAATAAAGAGTAAAACTGGTGTCTTCACATACACGTATATTTGTTAATGAAATTTGTTTATATCAGTTAGATAAGCTGATGCTTGTATGGGCTTTTTTTATTATCAAGGAAAATTATGCCATTGTTTGGAAAGTCACAGAAAAGTCCAGTGGAACTGGTGAAAGTGCTTAGAGAAGCTGTTTTAGCCTTGGAAAGAGGAGACAAAAAAGTAGAAAAGGTATTTACAAACTTGCTGATTCTGAGTTGAATTGTGAGTGTGTTTTTGGTTTTTAACAGAAATTATTGTCAAAACATTCTTTTGAAAAATGTATATATTATTTTCTAAGTGAGTTATTAACACATAGGTATTAATCTTAGGTTTATTTATACGTGGATGGGCAGTTTTTGTGTGTTCAGCTTCATGAGTTTAATTACAGATATCCAATTTTATAAAATCAATCATTAGTTTACTCTCAAGTTGCAAGTTTTACCTGAGCGATGGAACATTATATTCATTAACAGTATTGGCTATTATAGCTAATTTTACTTTTTTTATTATTATTATAAAGATTATTTCACAGCTTAGTTTATGGATTTAGGACTAACCTAAATTTACTAAGCTGGCCAAGCCAATTATAACTTTTACCACTATGTGGTAGTTTTTATTTGGACGTTGACCTAAACATGATAATTTTATGATAATGTGGACACAATATGATAGGTTAGAATGTTTAATATATCTACTTTAGTTTTTTAGTATTTTAAAATTAATTTTATGTTTTATTATTTTTGATATAAGAGTTAGCACACAGGATCACATATAAGATGCAGTGAATTTCAAAAAAGACCAAAAACTTAAACACTTTCAAATATTTGACTATTCTTCTTCAGGAAAATATTTTAATATTTTTATTACAATGATTAATTCTGCATTGTTAGTTTAGTATATGGATTTAGGACTAACCTAAGCCTTCTGAGCTGGCCAAACCTTATGAGATATTATTGGATTTATAGCTGAAAATACTGCTAACAGTGAGGGTAATCAATTGATGAAACAATTCTTGTTACTAGGTATATATTTTTTGTTTTAATCTATGTAGGTAGTTTACTTTTATGGAAAATTAATATTAATTATGTTTAATTTTAATTCAAAATATAATTGCTGTTACTCAGAGAATAATGTATACATTTTGGATTATGAAATTGCTTCTGTCTATATGTCACCATGACTAATAAAGCAAGAATATTTTTCAAATCTCCTTTGTGTTAGACCTGTGTTAGAAGTTAGTATGTCTAAGACAATGGCATGCCATTTTGCAAGCTCAGGTCAAAGTTGGGGTTCCATTTAGCTTTACCAACATTTAAAGTGAATGAATTGTACACAAGTCTCAATTTTGTGCATAACTTTAGCTACCTTGAAATATTACCTCATTGTTACTGCTTAATGTATTGCCCATTTCAAAATCCCATGACCTTGTAGGTGTCTGTAATATTTTAATACTAATTCTATACTTTGTTTTTTATTTGTTTTTTCAGTAAGAAAATATGCCTTAATAATTATTGCTCTTTTCTAGATTATTTTACTTGTGAATAGTTGTTAAAAGTGTATAGTAGTTGTGCACCTCACTCTGCATCCAAATGGTGATATATTAAGTTATTGATTTAGTTTGTAGTTTTATTAATTAAAATGTTGAATCCTTATGAGCGGTTTTCTTTAAGCATTCCGTGTTAGCCTAATATTTCACGTTCTGTTTTTCATTTGCAGAAAGAAAAAATGAATGCACTAAAGTTAAAGAATTGAAGAATATACCATGATTAACATTAGACATAGTTCATGTAGCACTGTATGCAATTATGTACATGTACTAGTGATTGTATCATTTTTTCCACATGCAGGCCCAAGAAGACGTGTCAAAAAATTTAATGCTAATGAAGAACATGTTGTATGGAACTAGTGACCAAGAGCCTCAAACAGATATAGTACTTACACAGCTTGCTCATGAATTATATAATTCTAATCTTCTGTTGTCACTCATTCAAAACCTATCAAAGATAGATTTTGAGGTAAATTCTGTTTTCAGTTTTGCATTAATATGGACTAACTTTTCAAATACAATATTAAAAGTAATTAAGAGATAATCATAGTTTTCTGTATTGTAACTATATCAAAGCACACTGCTGTTATTAAATAATGTCAATGGCACTCCTTAGTTCATTTTTTATGTGTAATAAATATCAGGTGGTTTGTCATACCATTTGACATACATATTCCAGTTTTGTGTAAAAGTGAAGGAAAAATGTGTGTTCTAGCTCAGCAGTTTGAACAACAGTGAAGTATGTAAAGAGATTCAAGTTAAAAATGAAACGTACTAGAACCTCAACAAAGACATTTGGAATTATTCATAATTTTGAGTGCAATAGGATAGCTAGAAACTGGTCAAATACAAGTAGGTGTTGCAGAATGGCCCTTCACAAATTGTAGTTAGCAGTATGTGGACTACTTTCAGAACATTGGTCAATGACCTGGGCAGAATGTACCGTTGTTGACAACCCACAAGATGATTTCTATTTGATACTATGGGTTTGAAGCAAACTTCAGCTTCTCAACTGAATAAACATTTCTGAGCAGAAACTGGATTGCAAATAGTTTTGTATGTCAGTTGACCAGTGGCATGGTTCCTCTAACACGTCATTACAAAACTGCCTAGAACATGTGGAATAGATCAAATGACATGTAGGTAATAAATAAATCACACTTCACATTGCAACAAGACACAAGATGTGTACATATTTGGCTAGGACCTGATCGAACCACAATTTCATAGAAGAAAGATGCACACGTGGCAGTAGTGATCAGTATTAGTGGACACTATCCTTTAGGTGCAATTACATTGTACTATGAATGCCTTATGATATAGTGTTACAGTCATTAGTGTTATCATATGCATGTGCAGTTGATGAGAATTTTATTTTGATGGATGATACACCACCATCAAGCTCAACTGTTCAGGAACTGCCTGGAAGAAGGAAATATCAAGCACATGCATAGGACTTAAATTATTGCATACACATGAGATACGCTAAGAAGAAACTTAGCAATACTTGTTTAACCTCTAAGCAATGTTGATGAACTGGAAACAACTCTGATGGTACAGCAAGCCATATTACAACAGTAACTCATTAATTATATGTTTGCACTTTATGACTTGTTTTAATGTCGTTCGCTGCTATGTGCTCCACTTGTGGGTCACAACCGACTTTTTGTTATGGACCACATGATACACTGATGGGTCACAGACAATTATGTTTCAAAGCCAAATTTCTCTTTTGATATATGAGTTTGGGACACTGTGACTGCTCCTTGGCACTTCTTAAATGTTTAATTTTATTTATACTTAATTTATTATGTTGCAGTGAATGTATTAACGGATGTTTTTTGATCGTTTATTGGGTTGCAAAGTCAGTAATATCAAATGAGGATTTGTAGACATGGAATCCAGTAGTAGGCATTTACATATCTGATGACATAAGTAATCACATCACATTTGTTTTGCTTAAAAATATACTTAAGGACACCACTGACAGTATTTAATAACAATTTTGGTACTGAAAATCCAATTGCTGTCCTAGGTAGAGTTGGCATAGAAGATTTATGTAGTTTGCCAGTACTTGTAATTAAAACTATTAATTGTAAATGCAAGTTTTTATCAGCTTTCCTGGTATAACTTACAACATAATAGCTAAAATATAGAAAACTCAGATTATTCCTAATAATTTTGAGTATTGTATGTTTATATTTGATTATTTCAAAACTTATCTTAGCTGCATTTTATATGTTGTTACTGAAGCTATTTTGATATTATGAATATGTAAAACAGACTCCAAAATTTTAATGTGTTATTTAAAATACCAGGTATGAAACTTGAGATTGTTAATACTGTATTCTTGGTGTGAAACTTCTGTGTTTGGCTGATGATATTTAAAGACAATAAAACTGTAAAAGTTATTTATGAATAGTTCCATCTATAGTGTTAGTTTAAAGAATATTTAAGGGTTAACTTATGTAAAAATTAATAGTTCTGTTTGTTGAATTTTACCAGTGCAATGAACGTTTGTTTTTTGAGAAACTTAATTGTCCCTGTAAAGTCGAAATACAATTTTTATATTAAAAAATATTTTTTATTAAATATAGTGTTAAAAATGTTTTGATTTTCATTTTTGATTCAAAGGGAAAGAAAGATGTTGCACAAATATTTAACAACATCCTCAGAAGACAGATTGGAACACGATCACCCACAGTGGAATATATTTGTACTAAACCAGAGATACTTTTTACGTTAATTAAGGGGTATGTACATGAATATGTATATAATAATTTTATGTATCCTGTAGTCTTGAATAATTACTACTTCATACTGTTTAAGGAAGGATAACATCAGTGATTTGAATTAATGCTAAACAATAAAAAATGCATTGTTCAAAATAATCACTTACCAACCACTAGTTGTGAGCAAAAAATATTGAAAGTTAAAAGATAATTTCACTTTAAAATTCTCACTTCTATATCATGTGGATTAGACTGATCACTCACCACTGAAACTCTTCACAAAACCAGGTTTGTTTGGCAATATAGAAATGTCAATATTCAGTTTTATTACAAAAATTATTAACTAATAACATTGTGAAACAAATTAGTGTATCATGTTTTAATATTTTAAGAAATGCTAAAAGAAAACAAAAATCAGCTGATTAAAGAAGAAACTGAAATATTTAGTTTATTACAGTATAATGAAAAAATCTAAAGATCTGTGCCACTAACTTTTTAATTAATAAGTATTGAGAAAGCATTACACATGTTTCTATATCTTAAATAAATGTTATTGAGATATTGATGCATGCATTGCTCAATTAAAAACCAGATGCAAGGTTGAAGAAACTTAAAAATTTGAATATTGAGAGCATAGATGCATTTTTAATTCTTATGTAACGGTGTTATTTCCAGTGGCAGTCTTGAGTTGTATTAAAAAGTTTTTGTTTCATACAACGTAGAAAGTGCATATTATGTGATGGTGCTATTAAATTTGGAACAAGCTTCTCTTTTTAAGTCAATTATCTGTTCATTATGATTATTAAAATATTGAGATCACTGAGAATGTCCATATGATACAATAACATATTTTCTGCATCCAGATTCATATTTACTAGTTCAAGTCATGCTCAAAAAACAAAACAAAATCATCACGTTTAAACACCACCATCTGAAGTCAGTACTTGTCCCAGTTCAAGTTTTTGTTCACGCAGTTATATAGTTTAACAATAAAAACTATCGAGGAACTGTCATTATTGTAAAATTAAAGATTCAATATGTATGGATTTTCATTAGATTTAAGACACTATAAAAGTAACTAAAAATTACTAGTTATAAAAAATATAATATTTTAAGTTTTAAAATCTTTTTTACCCTAAAGATAGAGAGACAATATAAAAGTATGACTGCTAGTGTGAAAAATGAAGTATTCAGATGTCTGAAGTAATAGTTCAATTAAAGAAGGTCAGGTTATGTTGACTGCTAGTGTGAAAAACGAAGTATTTAGATGTCTGAAGTAATAGTTCAATTAAAGAAGGTCAGGTTATGTTGACTGCTAGTGTGAAAAATGAAGTATTCAGATGTCTGAAGTAATAGTTCAATTAAAGAAGGTCAGGTTATGTTGAAGATATATATTATAGTCACTGAAAAGTAGATTTAAATGAGATGTGGCTTTATTAACAAATAATATTATTTTTTTTCATAAAAAATACCCTCTGGTAGCTGTTCAGTTAGTCTCAGGGTTTATAATGCTAAACATCAGGTCTTGATACCTGTGGTGGACACATCACAAATAGCCCATTGTTCAGCTTTGTGCTTAACAACAAACTACCAAATTAAATAGGTACATTTCAAATTTAAACATACAAAGTCATATTTATCATACTGTACAGTTGGGTCCATGGTCGTGATGTACTTGTAAGGAGAGATTTAAATGAAACTGGAAAGTATGTTATTTCAATGAAAAGCTTTTGTATACTTCATATGTGTACCATTTGGCTGATTTTTATTTTACAACACTTGTTTATATAGTAATTTTTCTTTGGAATAGATGTAGCATCTTATTCTCTCCGAGTTATTATTTTGGTATAACTATGGTTAATAAAAACAAATTTTACTTATTCAACAAGGATGGGTGTTTTCATCTGAAATTGACAAAATGTTGATCATCAGTATAATCAGTTAGCTTTGATCAGTTCTGGGAATATGCTAATAGCACAGTTAACTGCGTAAGATGTAATTTCAAAATTACTGGAAATTACATCTCATACAGTTGAGTGTGCTATGAATTAATATCAAATAACAAACAGTAATTTTCATTACCATGTACTTAATGTTTTATGTAAAAGGCTGATCATCATTATATATATATATCTTGTGATTTAATACATAATACTTCAAACTGATATTTTAGGCATTAGATTTATGAAATCTACATGCTATATTTTAAATGATGTGTTTCAAGACCATAATTTCACATCATTTCTGGAATAAGCTGTATTATGGTTTTCAAACACATTAGATCCTATTTTTTTATTGAATATCATAAACAAATTTCAAACACAGTATTAATCAAGTTCAGGATTATTGTGATAGTGTTCACCACCACAGAAAATCTATTTGTAGGGAAAAAATATTAGTGGAACTTTTCACATTTATCAATATATTAAATATAAATTTAGATTTTTTACTTGTTGGTAGATAATTTTCTATTTTGTTTGTTTAGTTATTATTTAAAACATTATTTTACTAGAAATAATTTTCACAGTAACATTTAGTATTTGAATATAGGTAAGTGAAAATACCTGAATATGAGGAAAACAGATGTTTTTTTTAGTTAATTCATGATATAAGGCCCCCTGGTGGCTCAGCAGTAAGTCAGTGAGCTTATAACGTTAAAAATCAGGTTACTTTATTTGTGGTTGGCATAGCACAGATAGCCCATTGTGTAGCTATGCGCTTTGCAACAAGCAAATGTGGTATAAATAAATTTAATTACTTAATATTTTGTGGTTTTCTGTCATTTCTTTATTTACTTATAAAAAAATTAACCTTAGGGCTTGATTGAAAAGAAGCTACACAGTGTTATTTCTTAATTTAGTTTTCAGATATTAAATGTTTTTGGTTATATTTGCATTTTCTTCATTTTATTACAACAGATATGAAAAACAGGATATTGCTCTGAATTGTGGAACAATGCTTAGGGAATGTGCCAGATATGAAGCTCTTGCTAAGATTGTATTGCATTCGGATGAGTTTTATAATTTCTTCAAATTTGTGGAAGTGTCAACTTTTGATATTGCTTCAGATGCATTTTCTACTTTTAAGGTCAGTTTGGAATTTTCAAGATTAAATTTTTGTGGTATGTTCTTTATGAAATAATTATAAATGAAAAATAATTTAAAAAGTTCTGCATTCTCTTCTTTTTAAAATATATTATTTGGCTTAATAAGAAAAACTACCATAATTTTTTTTACAAAGTAAAATTGTCAGTTTTGAAGCCAAACATTTAAGTGACGGGAGCCAAAAAAAAGTGAGGTTAAGATACTTTGAATCATTTGTTTATTATAGTTACATATTGTTACACTATGTAAACTTTTTTAAGTGTTTATGCAATCCTGTGTAAAATCATAAAAGAGCCAAGACTGTTTATTACTATTGTTTTGTAATTGTCATGTGAAATATGTATGGCTCATACCCTGAGTAGACAAGAACTGCTTTTATGGAATATACAAGTTCCTGTCAGCTCAGCTTGGTCAGTTGTAAGCCAGGTGTGATGTAATGTTTAGTGTACTGAGCTACATAGTCCAGGCCCAAGGTTGAAGCTGCAATATACTGCTATTACATGCACTGCACTTTCAGCTTTCGGATGTTAGGACATTATAATTGTGATAGTTAATCCTAATATTTGACTAAGAATAGCTATTGAAGGCAGTGAATGCTGCTGACTGGTTGCCCTTCTTTTGGTCAGTGTTGGACTGTTTAGTTTAAGAGTTATTATTTAGTTTATTTAGTGATTTAATATTTAATGATTATATAGTTTTCATAACAATAGTGTTAAAAGTTAATTATTGTAAAAGCAATAGTTATAACAAATTTTGTTATGTAATTCAGAACGAGACGTATGTTGTATGCAGTTTAATTGTTGTACTAGGCTTTTGTAATACTGTTGATGTCATCTTACTCAAATTTTTCTATTGTGTGTAATATTGTTGTCACTAGAGGGCTAGATATTTTTCAATTCTTCTGTTGCGTGTTATAAATATATGCAAATAACAGAATGTAAAGAAGAAAGCAAGTTAAGTGAGAGATAATTAGACAAATCTAGACTGAATGATTGTTAGTTTAACTGTAATGGGCATATCTAAAGTGAATTTCATGGTGGTATTGTAACAACAGAGATAAAGAAGAAGTTGTTGTCTTGTAATGGCTGGAGACGGCTTGAATGGGTAATGAAGAAAAACTTTAATATAAGTTTAACATAACAGCAAATGTACAACGTTTCGACAAGGTTTTGTCATCATCAAGACGACACTACTGTATTATTTATTTCAACTGCTGCAACAGAAAACTTTTTTAGTCTAGATTAAAAATTTTATGAATCCTTTCAGCCTTATAGTGTCTGTCTGTATCTTTTTCAGGAACTACTTACAAGACACAAAGGACTATGTGCTGAATTTCTGGAAAACAATTATGACAAAGTATTTAGCCATTACCAGAACCTATTGAACTCTGAAAATTATGTAACTCGAAGGCAGTCCCTAAAGGTACAAGTATAGCTTTACTTTCATATTTTAAAACATAAATGATTTTCAATGAAACATATATAGTAATTCATAATATTCAAAGGCTTATATGATCAATAGAAAAAAAGTTAGTATCAGAAATGAAACCCAATAACCTCAGCACTCTCAGAAAGTGATATTTCCTTCATCAGGAGTAAGTTTGCCATTTACCCTTAATGATGCAAACTACGTTTTTCAATATTGTTCAAGTTATTGAGTTAATTTACTGATGCTAAGTATTAATTTTGTTTTCAAATTCATCTTCAAGTACACAATAAAGTCTGATTTCATAAACTTAAAAATTTACTTCTAATCATTATCTCCATTATTAAAATGCAAGCCTTCTGATTTTGTAGTAGTAATAATATTTTTATATCTGCATATGCTTATTTAGCTATGGCCTTGTGCTTTTATGATGAAGCTGAAAGTTTTAATAGATTCTAATTGTGATTTCTTTGTTTCTAGCTACTTGGAGAACTTCTACTTGATCGCCATAACTTCACTATAATGACACGGTATATAAGTAATCCTGAGAATTTAAAACTTATGATGAATATGCTAAAGGAGAAAAGTAGAAATATCCAGTTTGAGGCTTTTCATGTTTTCAAGGTAAGTTGTACAGTGATCAAATTTGAATAAATTGGAAGCTTTAAATAGAGATATGCATGTAGTATTGTGTGGGCAATAGAGATAGATAGTTATAAAATTGATTAGATATTTGTAGTTAGTAGTATAAAGTCCAATATTATACCTAAAGATGGCTAAGAATTGTGGTTAAGGATTGTTAGTCATGAAGATGTTTCAAAGTGTGGTTAGAAATTCTGTTACACAGAGGTTAGGTATGTTATAGTAAAATGATTTTGGAGCCTCATCATGTTACAGTCTGTGTTGTCATGTCCACTCATGTTCTGTCTAATGACCAAGCATCTTGACAATAGCCCTGTAGCATTTTAAATGGCAAAAGTCTTCATCATAAGACTTCCAAAGCACACCACTCCTCTCTGCATGTTTTCCATAATTCATCTAGTATACAAGAACACTGGTTTCTCATCACCCATTTTGACAGTCCAGTTACATAGAAATCCACATGCATTGTATCTGAGGGCTTGACTGGTATGTCTTTGTGGCAAATAGCATGGATATCCATTTCCTTCTCCAGATGGTTGAGGTATATGATAGTTGAATGGTAGGTGTAATAATCGGAAGCCTTACCTTGGGGATTCCATAACCCGTTGGTCTTGTTTCCAAATTGAGAACCTTCATGATTATGTAATGTACTGTTTCCTGGGCTACATGGGTGACTTTTACAAGTAAAATTTGTTTTCATTGATTCTCAGTGCACTTCATTTACCATGGGTAAGTTATGACTTTTTTCCAGTTGCTTTCTGGATGGTCCTGGTTATAGCTGGGTGTTTAGTGGTATTCACTAATTGAGTAATCAGTGGCTCCATTAATCAATTAGTGTAATGATCCTCAATCATGTTACATACAAGCAAAAAAAAACAAACAATAATGTTGATGCTGACTGCTGTCAGCCAGCTGCTTTACCTCTAGCCAGCAGTTCAAAACTAGTGACAATGGTAGCTAGCCTTACTAGCTTTGCCTTAACAAAGACAGGACAAGAGCTTTGGTGACAGTAGGAATTGAACACAAGTTCTTTGAATCATGAGCTCCAGCCTTGCCCCAAAATCACCAAAAATGAACGAACTTGAGCTAAAAACACAAGAACAACTTATATGGCTTTTGTGATGCTGCAGCATGTGGTCAGAACAGCTACTAATGAAGCACAGCTTTAAAAATAGCTACAGGCATGGTTTAAATATGATTGGATAGAGCAGATTATAAACTATATATGTCCATGTAGAGTTAATAAAGTGGTATAAGCAGTAATTTATGGTTTTGTTGGAAAGACTACCTAAGACTCCTGCAGAATAACCAAAGGAAGCTAATGGGAAGCTTAGAAGATTTGCAAACAAACTACAGACGTGGGCATTTTTTTATAGTTTCTATAGATGTTACTTTTATTCCTGAAAATAGTTAAATGTTAAATTATATCCATTTGCAAGTTACAGAAATTTTATTACATGATGACACATCAGATAGTTTAATGCTTATGGTAGGTGATGGCAAAATACTTCAAGGACTCAAATCCTTATTTATTGAATATTATTGTTAAGGATATAGTATTCAAGTAATGCACATAAATGAAAGAACTTATTATTTATTGGATATAAATTTATTTGGATGAAGAATATCGTTAGCTAAAATAGTTGATTATCTTAACAAAGATAATGGTGATGCCATTTTGAAAAATCAGGGCCTAGGTTACAAAAATAAAAATCTTTGTCAGTATTTTGTTTTTATTATAGCTGGGAGTGGTAACTGCTGCAACTGAGAAAATAAAGTACCAAAAGAAATGTGTCAATGACTGTCAATCAAATTGAAAGTGATTGGATATGTAAAATGGAACTTTCTGACCAACAATTATAATAATTGAAATTCTATTTTTTCAAAATAGTATTTAAGAACAAAATTTTGGAAACTTCTAAAAAATGATAGAAAAGTAAATTGAATTCTGTAAGTTTTTTTAAAAGTTGAAACTATATGCTGTTTAGCAAGTTTTATGTGATTTGGTTAAGTATTTCCATTGTGAGAAGGGAAATATAAAAGGGTATCAGTGACACACCTGGTCCAGGAAGGGTTACACAGCTATATAATAGTCTATATGAATAGTGGTTTGTTATGGTGTATATGCTTTAAATCTTTGCTATGGAAGTTCTACTAGTGTTTTAACCATGGAACCGATTAAGAACTATAGTAATGCATGAAAGTATCTAACTGAAACAGTTATATTCCAATTACATTAGAAAAAGATGCATATATACCCTGACAAGGATTTTTCAGTGGTCTAGGACCTGACCATTCAAAATGGTATCACCATGATCTGTGTTAGGCTAGGTAACAATGTTCTTTGTCAAGATCAATTTATATTTAATAAGTATAGTTTCTTATATTTATTCGTTTTGTTTAAGTAATATAAACTTATACAATAACATTCAATAAATATGGACTTAAGCTCTTGGAATATTTTGCTGCCATCACCTATTATGCTCACTAAACATAACTAAGCTTATCTGATGTCTTGTCATAGAAGAAAATTTCTATAGCTTTCAAATGGGTGTAATTTAACGTTAAACAATTTTTAGGAATGAATGTCACATCTAAAGAAACTACAAACAAATTCTCTGATTTGTAGTGTGTTCCTTAGTCTTCTGACTTAATTAATACATTTCCACTTGCCTTTTGACAAGCTGTATTTCTATCAGTCGGTAATCTAATAACAATGTTCTTAATATTATACTTTTTTACCCATTAAAATGCTGTTACAAAATATGAATAACACTGTCAACTCAACAGTTTGTTGTATTATCACAGGTGTAAATCTTGTACAATGAGATTATGTTGAGTAAATTATGGTGTGTGTATCACATATTCTTAATATGCACTCATTCTTTTCAAGGTGTTTGTGGCCAACCCCAACAAACCCAAAGCAATTCTTGACATACTTCTTCGAAATAAAGAAAAGTTGGTAGACTTCCTCACTAACTTCCACACTGATCGCTCAGATGATGAGCAATTCAATGACGAGAAGGCCTATCTGATAAAACAGATTAGAGAGTTAAAACCTCAGGAGGATCACTAGTATTTAAATGTTGTATAATTATGCTTCATCCTCTCATTCCAAAATGTTTTATTTTTTTGTTATCCACTTTACTGAGAGGTTGTTAAATGTTAGTAGCTTTTCAGAGTTCTGCTGTACAGACGTTCATATAGTAATTGAAAAAACAAAACAATAAATAGAAAGTTTGAGATACAGTAGATTTTCAAAGCTTTTTTATTTTATTTAGAAACTACAGTGTAATTGTACTGTAAATAATTTTGTACTGCATATTACAAGTTTATGAATGGCATTGATTGTATGTAAGGAGATATATATAAGAATGTATGTGAGAGTTGGAATACGTAAAACATGCTATAGAAGTTATTTAAAAAAAACTCTTTTTGCTGAATATTTAAATTAATTAAGTTGACTAAAATATAAGAACATGATAATCATATATGTTACATAAGATTTTTCTTTAATTAGTTTCATTGGTACTTGCTTATTTATATTACCATGAAATGCTTGTGTTTACAACATAAATTAAAACATCCCAGTGGTGGTAGTTAAACTTTGAATGGAGAATATTTGTAAAATAAATTTTTTTAGTTGGTACTGTTTGAGATCTTATTAAGGATCCTCTAATTTTAGTTATTGGTACCAAGAAGTTTACTATTATTTAGGTTTCGCTAAAATACTTGTGCCTAGTATATTAATGTGAGATGTGAGTTGTATTCTAATGTGTTATTTTTTCATGAGAAAATTTAAAAATGGTATCACAATAAGTAGAGTAAAATGGGAACCTTAAGAGCATTTACTAATGATGCGTTTAGAAAAATGCTTTTTAATGTAGAGTAAACCAGACATTGTTTTTTCATCAGGAGACAAGTTGAGATCACAAAGAGATATTTAAGAACTGGTTACATTAATGTGAAAATATTTTGTTCTACTGTTTGTTTTTTTATAACTGCTAAACTATGTAGATTTTTATATTAACATATAACTTTGGTTAGGTTTGATTAATAATATTTATCAGGGTAAAAGAAATAAAATGGATGTAGTTTTTTAAGGGTATTGTAATTGTAATTAAATAAGGTTACAAATGTGTAAATTCAGGAACATAAATTTGTTTTGTAAAAGAAAACAGTTATTTCTTTTAGCTCTGGTATTTCAGTTTAAAAACCATCAAACTTCAATGTGAAATTTTGGAAACAACTTTTGCTAAAGTTTGCTAATTTAAATAATGACTTTTTTTTTCCTCATGAAAGTATTTGCTTAAAAACTGATGAAAAAAAAATGCATAGTATATTTATTCTAGTAGAAACAAATAAAAATGGTAAATAATTGCACTTAAATTGTGTGCAGTCAAATGTTTCTTTGTTGTTGTTTTTTCACCTTAACCCTTTAGTAAGTCAGACTTTGAAGAAACCCCAAAATTAGTTTTTAGTTAGAAAAAATTAAAGTGCATGTAAAGAAGTTAATGAGCTTAAAGCAGTGATTCTCAGTTTTAAGCTTTACAGACCTTTTCAACATGAGCATCCATGTAGATTTTGACCTAACATGATAGCATGTGATGAAATGGACTCATTGTAGACTAGGGATGAAATTATATAAAGAAAATCGATCTTCTACTATTACAAATATTTGAATAAATCCTATTATAGACACTTAAAAGTTACCTGATGACCATAAGGAACGGTAGTACATGAGTTAACATTGCTGAAGCAGAACACGAGAAGCTATTTTCCCATAAGATCATTGGTTTGGTTGCATTTTGGCTAGAAAAATGATATAAAGAAAAGTGTACAAGATGGCCATTGAATTTGCATTATGTGTGGCAAAACCACTTCAACCAAAGGAAGAACAACATCATGTGGCACATGCATATTTACCATCTAGTGCAGATCAAAGAAGTGTGAGAATCTAAGTCACTATCATCAGCAAGCCAGGAAACTTTAATAACAGTATCATATATGTAGCAGGGATGTGAATAAATTTTCATTTGCATATCTGTTACCATTACTCAAAATCAAAATTGTGTAGCAGAACAACCTAGATTTTGTAAAGTAATTTTTGAAATAACATTTTTTTTCTATACATTTTTCATAATTCAATGCGTGTCAAAGCAAAATACTCATAAAATACAAGTAAAATGTCATTATAATGTGCTTACTAACATTCACAATTTTCTTTAGCTAAATGGACCACAGTTGGCTCAAAATGGAAATTTGTAACATAAAAGCAAACAAATCAAAATTTTGAAGTCATTTTTACTCCAAACTTCAGTTTGGCTGTTTTTCTTAATATGTTAACATAAAATTAATTCAATAAGACACAAGTAAAGTAAAAATATGTCAAAATGTATAAAATATTTCATACAGAAAAAAATTAGCTAACTGTACAACATAGCTGTTATACAAGTGTGTGCTATTCCACATGGAGAGAGTGATCATGTGACTATATACAGTTTAGGTGGGAAATACTGTATGCTGCAACTAAGAAAATGGTGTGCAACAGATCACTAAAATTTACGGAATAATTTGGTGAAACATAGTACTTTACCTGTGATGCTGTCATAAATTTTCAGTGCTTTATTGACATTTGAAAGCTAACTTGTTTGCAAATTTATTAAAATCAGTATGTATGATGTAGTTTTTCACAGTGTACGTAAAATTAGGATATGTATTGAACTGTAACCCACTATGAGGATTTTCTAGTTTTTGTTAAAATCAGTATGTATCATGTAGTTTTGTCACAGTGTACGTAAAATTAGGATATGTATTGAACTGTAACCCACTATGAGGATTTTCTAGTTTTTATTAAAATCAGTATGTATCATGTAGTTTTGTCACAGTATACGTAAAATTAGGATATGTATTGAACTGTAACCCACTATGAGGATTTTCTAGTTTTTCCATAAGCTTTTTTTTTTTAGCCAGATTATTTAATTATTCCTTACAAAACAGTTATTAAATTTATTTGGTTTGTCCAATTAAGATAAAATGTACAGGATAGTTGTAAGTTAATTAAATGTTGTTTTATGAACCTGTAAGTTAATTAAATGTTGTTTTATGAACCTGAAACCATGATTTTGATCTACATATATTAAAGTTATGGAAAAATTACACTTTACCAACTTAACCTAGTTTGCACCATAACTTAATTAACTAGGTTGCACCATAACTTAACTAACTAGGTTGCACCATAACTTGTTGTCAGGTGATTTGTTGTGTCACATCCAACCTGAAGTGTCTTGGTATTGGTTGCAAATTTCGTCTTGGTGACATTGGATAGCACATAAAGAGTGGTCAACATATTATTATTATATACTCTACTTTCATTTAAAAGTTCTTATTAATAACAATAAGAAAATGACCATTAGACAATAGAATTAAAGTTTTTGCCCAAAATTATGACAGTAAATTAAAACTAGGTTACAAAGACAAAAAAAATGTTATACAGAACATACTGGACTAAAGTTGTCAATGTAGCTTCATACTGTATAAATTAAGGAGTAAAAATAGTTATATTTTAATGTAGTGAAGTTTCAGAGTGAAAATTTGTGTATTGTTGTAGAGTTAATACTATGAATGATGAAAATGTCTGCCTTTAAAAGTTCATTAATTAAAGTGTGAAAAATATCTGCAATTATGTCAAAGTGAAAACGAATTGGAAATCTAAATTCCATTTTCTGGAAAATTTGTTAAGTTTAGGCATTTCTTAAATTATCAGTTCCGATGTTGCATCATGTGAGGATTGAATAAAGTAAGCAACCCCACTGCCACACACACACACACACACAAGTTAATATACTTGTATATGGAATACTTAAAACAGACTGTTGCTGAATCAGAAGAAAGAAATGCTTTTTTTAACCTTCAACACAGAAGTCGACATCATATGTTTAGAAATACAAAGTCTTAAGAGTGAAAAATGTTTACAGTTTTGTTATGAAACCTACAGAATTCACTATCTGTTGGTCTTGTTGAAAAGACTGTGAATTCTGTTCTGTTATAATGTGAAATATCACATTTTTATTTAATATGCGAAATATTTTATTTTAACTGAAAATATAATAAAGCTTACACAAACTTTGTAGATAACAGATAAACAATACATGTCCTAGTTATATGGTCATTAATTCAGATTTATTGCCAAGCTTTATTAAATTTTAAAAAAAGCTATGTCCTCTCTTTATAAGACGGCATGGTCAGGTGGTTAGGGCGCTCGACTCGCAATCTGTGGGTCGCGGGTTCGAATCCCCGTCACACCAAACATGCTCGTCCATTCAGCCGTGAGGGCGTTATAATGTGTCGGCCAATCTCACTCTTCGTTGATAAAAGAGTAGCCCAAGAGTTGGCTGTGGGTGGTGATGACTAGCTACCTACCCTCTGGTCTAACACTGCTATATTAGGGACGGCTAGCGCTGATAGCTCTCGTGTAGCTTTGCGCGAAATACAAACCAGTCTGATACCTGTCCATTTTGTAGCTTCGTGTTTAACAACAGAGGAACCATTTTTACACGATTATAAAATATTTTATATATATATATATATGTACATGCTATTCAAAATAAGGATGATGGTACATCATCAGACAACCGTTGGAAAATAAGGTCCGAACAGAATTGGACAATTTATTTTGTGGAACCGTTCCACCTCCCAGCCCTGGACCGTGTTCTGCTCTTTCAGTCTAACTCTTCCGATGTGTCGGCATCCATCAGGTTCTGCACATTTTTCTGTATTCTAATATTACAAATAAATGATAAACTACACTTGCAGTATTGGCAAATACATTAAATGCAATCTCGATTAAAATATGGATGAACGTGGTAAAGACAACACTTTCATCGAAGATGTAAATACACTTTGACAGACAAGTTTTACACGCTGGTTCCAAATCTGTTTTCGGTTTTCTTCTAGCACATCTTGTTATCGAAATATAATTGGTATTAATTTCAGCACAATTTAGGTAATAATCACACATTAGGCTAGTTAACGTTACAACTTTATTCATTTTTCAGTATAATTCCCATAAACGTTATACACTTGGTTAAATTTATACAGTTAAACACTTATGAAAAAAGAAATGTACAAAACTTAAATTATAATTAAGGCAGTAACCTATCAAATTTGATGGGTTTCATCATGAAAATTTGACGTGCAAGAGGAAAACCAAAAACCGATTTGGAATCAGTGTCCCAAGAGCTATCTAGCCCACCTTTTATTATATCTGACGAAAATTCTTGTTGGCCAGTGTAATTATTTTTAATTAAGAAGCACTTTTTCACATTGTTTTGACGAATATAAATACTATTTGAAACTTGGTGATTCAAAATTTTCATCAGAATGTACAATCAACAGCATCCCCAAGTCACCGTCAGCCATGATATTAGAACGGAAATCTATCAAACTGATTTCACGTGAAAGCTAAAACCTGTTCCATATCGAACGAGCGGAACGTTTCCAAGTCCAGTCACCTCACGAAATCACGCCTTACGATAATTCATTCTTTCTAACTTCAGGTTTAGCTTCTGGAAGGAAGTTGAAGGAATATAACTGAACACATAATCAAGAAGACATCTAAAGGTCTAACATGCATATGCCATTGTTTCCTATATTATGAACGGAAATTTTTTCGAAAAAATTCAAAACTTGGAATATTTTTATGTTGCTGCTTAATTTGATCAAAATTATCCACTTTTATGACCTTTTGTTAATTGGCATTCAACCCATGGGTTTAATAAAAACATTTTATA